GTTTTTAAAGGTGCACTCAACTCCTTTTAATGATGTGAAAATTTTGTTTGAATCCTGAGGGTTTTTTTAAAATTTTTTTTAAATTGCCATTTGCAGTCCTTTTTGGGGGACTGGAATATCAACCATATTTTCCTGATAATGAGCCTTCTGCCAATATCTTAACTTGCCGTTTTGCATGCAGTTTTTTGGATGACCTGTTTTGCTTTTAGACACTCCGAAGAGAGATTTTTCTGGTTTTAATGCCAATACTGTTAAAATAGTCAGGATGGCCTGTTGTGGGTGTCAGGAAATTCAGTTTTGGAAGTAAAATGCCACTAGGCAGGCCACCTAATCTTTAAATGCAGTTGTAGCACTCAACTGATTTGCTGTTTGGGGCACAAGTACACTGAGCCAAGTCAGGATACCTACCGTGTGAACGTTTGTTACAGCTGAGGAAGGACTACTGGCCTTTTCAGAAATATCCCAGAATGCTTTCCACCTTTTCATTTCTAATGCACTGGCTGGTTGTAATTCCAAACAGGGATTCTCTGATTAGGAGTGGAAATGAGAGAGTGATCCATTTTCAGATTTTTAGAGGTTGGCATCTGTGTTTTAGGTACTAGCTGATAAGTATTTACTTTCCTGGTGACTGGGTAGGGCAAGTGACAATACAGTGTGAAATTCCAAATGAGACAAGCAGTACTCATTGGTGACAACTGATATAGTAACGTTCGCCCGAATACAGTATGAACGCTATAGGGAGATAGGCAGTAAAATCATGTGAATCTATTCACCACAGCTATTTTTTTTTCTAACTATAGAATCATTGTCAACCTGTAAGCCATGCTCCTAATATCCTAGACTCAGGAATTAACTCCTGCTGGCTTATCTTTTGTTTGTGCGCAGAGTTTTGGCCTAGGCCTGTCCCGAGCTGTTTTGCTACAAACACATACTTAAGGTGCAGTCTTACTAAGTCAATAATATACTGTCAGCAGTGCAGCCTGTTTTACAGCCACAGTGATTTATTGAAATACAAAACAAACAAAAAAGTGAGAAATGCCTAGGTAATTTGTTTGAGGCATGTTAAATCTGTTAATCTGGGAGGAAGCATAGAGTCTTATCTTTCTTCTATCTGGTTTAGGTGAACAGTGACCTTAGTGCTTTCTGTTACAGAACCAGTTGACCTAGGCAAGTAGCTCTCCATCTTGGCTGCACATTAGAATCACCTGGGGCATTTAAAAAAGTACTGATGCCTGGGGCCTCCTCTAGACCTTCACGTTTAAGTGGCCTGCTGTGCAACCTGGGCTTTAAAAGCTCCTCAGATGATTTTAATGGGCAGCCAAGGTTGAGAATCATTTTCTAGGTAGTCCTGAATGGTCTTTGGCAGGATAACCTCTACCTGGTTCTCTTTTGTCATAAGATACCTTTATTGGTATCCCAGGCATGGCTCTGAGTTTAAAACTTAGAGTGGGCCAAGGCTCAAGTGGTAAAATGGATCATTTATTTGTCCTCGGAGTAATTCAGTAGAGAGATGTTGCCATCCACCCAGTTTCCTCTCTATACCAAAGTATGCATAAGTCAGCAAAACAGATTTTCAAAGTCTGCTCCCTAGAATCCTCTTTCCCTTGCATATGTGATTTAAGTGGAGATTTTTTTTAACTCTGCTAGCTGAAATGGAGCGCTTGAACTTATTAAGAGAGCCAAGCCCAAGCCACCTAGGGTGATTTTTATTTGTAAAGTAAGCAGGTGGCATTGTTAAAGTTAATGAAGAAAAAGGAGGGCCCTTTCTGGGGTGATGGTGATGTATTTGATTGTTTCTTAGCCTGTCTTCTAAGTGGGATTTCGATGTAAAGCGACTTTCACTTTTCCGTGTTTCTTTGTGAATTAAATGCACTAGCTAAGGCGTAAATATTTCTGAGTTTTACATGAAATGTGAAGTGAGTCATTTCAGCATCTTTGTTCCAGGATATCAAAGACTTAACCCAGTAATTCCCAAACGAGTCTTCATATCTTTCATTCTCCCACCCAGGTATAAAGATACCTGCCCATGGCAACCTCACACGTGATAATGGGGAGGGGAGAACTGTTTGATTATCCTTAAAAAAGTGAGAACCATCATTCAAACTAATTAGCTACCAAGTGATTTCTAATTCATGAAAGAAACTTGTGTTTAAGAGCAAGTTCAAATATAGCAGTCTCTCATCTGAGAGACTGCCGGCACTGTAGAAATTTTCATTCATATATTGCCTACAAATAATTGATAATTTCAATTTCAAATAGGTGGTGTGTTTGAGAAGAAAAAGTGGGTGGAAGGAAAAATTGCTAGTGCAGAGGACTGAATTAGCATCAGGCTATGAAATTTCATTAAAATAACATTAAGGCCTGGCTGTTTGCTTAGCATGTATATGCTGCAATGTCAGAGAAAAACGCCTTCTATGCCTTAGAAGATTTGTGAAGGCTTCCTTATATTGTGTGGAATAGAAAAGCAATAGCCTTTGAGACTTGTTTGCATCCGGAGAGTAGCCCATTAGGGTTTTCATACGGAGGAACATGGTGGAGTACTGTGAAACACTGTTGAACTTTATGCAAATCACACCGCACTGGATTTTAAGATTTGGGGAAGGAGAATAGAGGAGGAGGAGGGGGAAGTAATGGTAAAAATATAGAGAGAGAAACTTGTACTATATTTTACACCAGTAATGAAAGAAATTCCCTATCAGGAATTCTCTATCAGGACTGTGAAGCTCTGCCAAGTTCTTCTGTCCTACTGATTGGCTTGCTGATTCCTCTTAAACCTTTAAGAAATCCTTTCTGAAAGAGCTAAACAAAAGCTGGTCTGACTGCAGTTTCACCACCCTGTCCCATCCCCCTATTCACAACAAAAGAAAAACATTCCCAAACTATAGGCAAAAGAAATGTCTCAGTCCGTTAACTTTTCATCCTCTATGGTCTATGTTCACTGTTTTAGCCTGTTGAATTATTTTGTGATCTAATGGCAGAACTTAAATAGATCTGCCAGATCAGTCAGGAATCAATGGCTCCTCCTTTAAGAAATCTTAAAATCAGAACTCTCAATTTTTGGCACGTCAGCATAAGTGAGTAAAGGGAGAAGTAGGTTGAAAGAGCACTTAGGGAATTCCCTGGCGGTCCAGTGGTTAGTGGGTCCTTGGCGCTTTCACTGCCAAAGGCCTGGGTGCAATCCCTGGTCAGAGAACTAATAAGATCCCGCAAAGCCACTTAGATTTCCCTTAGATATCCTGGCTTCTCATAATTTCAGGTGGGACCCACTTATGCTCTGTCTCTGAGAAGACAAGACAAGACAGAGGGTTCTAAGGTAGAAAAGTCAATGTAGCTGAAATATGGTTTCCTTCAGATGGATATAGTCGGAAAGAAATCTGTCCACCTGTTCTCAATGGTGCTTATATGGTGGGTGACAGCTGTCTCCCATCCACCTGTCCCTGGCACTGTGCCTTCCCACTGGTCACTGTGAAAAGCAGATCACACTGGACTCAGAGGCCAGAATCCAGGACAATTTCCCCCTTCTCATCACTTCTTCATACAGCTAATAATGTAGCATTTACTTCTCTTTGGAAAATTCTTGGGTTTGTCCCCCAAGAAATAGTAAAGCATTTATAGGAAAACAGAAAGTATGATTCTGGTGGTAGCTATCAAATAAAGAGATTACAGGAAAATTTTAACTTCCCCTCAGCTGATATTTATTGACAGCAAGGACCAACTATGCCTCCTCACCCTGAGTTTCTAAAGGCTACCATAATATTTCTAAGCAACAAACTTACCTAACATTTTTTCACAACTTGTTAATCTAGGATTCATATTGAAACAGACAATCAATTTCTAAAATGTTGTTATCCCTGAAAGGGAATGAGATAGAGTTTTTAACTAGAAGAACCTACCGGTCTGTTTTTTCCCTTTGAAAAAACTAACATTTGAGGTTTGTGTCTTTCATCTGAAGCGATTACTCCGTTAATAAAGATGCCTCAGAAAAGTCGGTGAGCCAGGCTAGCACTCTTGCACCTCTGAGGGTGCTGGACTGGGTTTGTACATCTTATTTCCTTAGAGAATATCTGTCTTTATTATGACCTTAACTATAAATACCTATATATAGGAATAGGATTTTCTCTCATCCCACCCTCTTTTAATCGTTATCACTTAAGTGTAAACCACACCTCCCCCACCCCACTTTTACTGAAAAAATGCACTTTAATTCCTAAGGAGAGTGGCTGTTCCTCGCCCTGAAGCCAGATTACTTCAGGAGGAGAGTTGAGGAGGGAGAACTCTTGGTGGACCTCGTGAAATTAACTAAATTCCTTAACGTAAACACAGAAATCAACCATTTTTAAGCTGCCCCCCACCCCCAGCCAAAGGGAAAAAGAAACAACCAAATGAAAAAGTTCAAAATGCCTACCTTGATTTTGGAAGTTTCACTGGGGAAAATACCCAATGTTAAATTATTTTCTCAGCTACCAAATTATCAGAAACTTGTGGGTGGTTTTGTGGGAGGCTGAGACTTTTTTTTTTTTTTTTAATAAAAGGCAAGTGGATCACAGGCTACAAAATATGATCCTGATTTGTGTCGTTTCTAAGTATCAGATCTGTTCTCTCCCTTAATTTGACAGGCGTTCTCAGTCTCTCCTCCTGTAGATTCTGTCCTTCCCCTGATGACAAGCCAATAGTTCTTGGTGGGGTTGCATGCCTCCTAGAGCCCCAGGAGCCCTGTTGTGTCGGGGGAGGGGGAGGGGGGAGGGCAGGAGGGTGGGCAGAGACTTGGGTTGGGGGAGGGAGATTCAGAGAAAGTGAAAATATATGGGTTTATATAAACATATTTAAAGCAGTTTAGCAAAAGCTTTCTCGTTGAACAGCTTTAAGAACAATGTGAATGAAATCTTAGCAACTTGGTTAGTAATTTGAAAAGTCTATTAATGTATACTTGAAATTCTGTTTGTATAAAAATACATTTTCCTCTTTATTTTAACACTGTAAAAGAACATTATGCATGTGAGTGGTTTGAGAATTAAATGATTTAATATTCAGATTTGAATCTCTGTCTTTTCTGTATAGAGATTAATTCGTTTTAAATTTTTGGATTTTTTTAGTATGAGGGGATTACCTAGATTTCAAGCTCCCCCTGCCCTCTCAGGATGCCTACCATCTTTCAAGATGAAGCAGTGACATATCTCCCTTCTTCACTTTCTTGACCCAGATGTGTTCGCTGGTAGAGAACAATTGAAAGCCTCATTTTACCAAATGCCCAACAGCATCTCTATCCATTTCTCCTTTCCTTGTCTTCGTTTCAGGTGGCAAAGTCCATTCGTAATTGTGAGATATGGGAGTAGTTGTATTTATTTTTACTTCTATTCACAAACCAAAATAGGAAGAACTATAAAGGATAACATTTTAGTTAACACAAGGGTTGGCTACTCTGCCCATGAAGATAATAGTGTTCAGAGCAACTTCCCTGATAAGAACCAGGAAGGGCCTGTTGGCCTTGAAGGTCACTCTGCTGGGGTTCAGCGAACGGCCAGCAATGCCAATGACGGTACTTGCTGCTGCTTCACTGCCTTCCTCGTTTACCTGCAGGTCAAATAGGAAACAAACTGCTACATTAGCTACTCTGCAGCTCATTACAGGCAGGTGAATCATCCATCGACACAGCAATTCCTCAAAATGCCATTTGTTTTCCATGTGAAAGTACACTTGGGTCGGGTTGGGTTCCCTCTGGAACCCTACTTTTAGTCTTTCTTTCATCCACTGAATATTGATGTAAGCACTTGTATTCATCCAAGCCTTGTGCTGAATAATAAGTGCCAGGGTCCATTCAGATCATCTCTAAACCAGAAATCTGGATGTGTACGAGGCTGTCACATTTCTGGCTGGCACCATTGTATATGGTATTGTACTAGATACTAAAAGACATTTTGACTCCAGATTAGAGCACTATAGTTGAGATAGTTTCACTCCTGGAGCATCAAGATCCCAGATACAACTACTGTAAGCAGCCACTCAGGAACTAGGGCCTATGAAGAGAGGAGGGTCCTCGGGCTGGATGAGATGAGTACTTCCTGGAGGAACAGACTGAAGTGATGGTATTTGAACTTGCTGATAAGTAGAACTGCACAGGTCTGGAGGGAGATATCTTTAGAAAACTTTGTTTGGGGACCCAGAATGTCACTAAAACTCTGTCCCTGCCTCTAATGAAAGCACTTCAGATTCCTGAGTCTTGAGGAGCTGGTTGATGCTGTTCTCTCCCTCCCTCCTTCCTTCCTTACCACCTCCCTTCTGGCCATACTATCTATTTCATGATCATTCTAGTACTAAATTTATGAGTAGACTGGAGCTTTTGTAAGACCAGGATCCTTTTATTCGAATCAGATTCTGGTTTATTTAATGGCTTCTCAGGAGATCTACAATCAGTTGGGGTGTGTGTATTGGGTTCCCAAGAGCCATGGAGGAGCCTTGCATCATTGTTTAGTTGGCTCAAGTAGACAAAATGAATGTAAACTTCTGCTTCTTCTTAATAGTTACTCAAGGCCCTCAAGGAGGTCTGAGCTGACCACTTCTATTTGGGGTCCTTGGAAGAAGATTCTCAATCATAGTTAAAACCCTGAGGACTCATCTTCCCTTGCAGCCTTTCTAAGTGCTCTTTCTTCCATAATCCATATGGTATCGGTGTTGTTTTTACTTCCAAAACCATGAATCCAGTACTCATGTAAAATCCCCTGTTCTGACCTCAGTATCTTTAAGATATATCCCTCTACTCTTGCTGTTGTCCTACAGGTCACTAACATCTATTGTCCTATGGATTATATTCCCACATTGAGGATTTTGTTGCCTAGCCCATAGCCTTTCTGTCTATCCTAACTCCTGATATCATGTGACCTAGACAATTAAAATATCGTGGTAGGAGACCCATTCAATACTCTAACCTCCCACGTCTTTCATCTCATCAAACCCAATGAGCATTACCTTCTCTTAAGGAAACCAGTCCATGGCTACACCTTGAACTTGCCATCTCTCAGAACATCTGGACTTTTGAGATTATAATTACATTATCCTTCTCTCAGACTATATAACCTTCGGTATTTTTAAGCTATCACACTTCCTCATTCCCATTACAATTACTCTGACCTCCTCCTGCCCCTTGATCCCTCCACTTTCCTCCTAACTACATATTTCCCACTGAGCTTGGACTCTGCAACTATATTTACTAGCACGATGCCCTGAAACCTTCCTCTCTGACCACAATCTTCTTTCTTTGCAATTTCCTCAATCCTGTGACCTTCTCTAACATTGCCCCATCACATTTCCCTCATAGCCTGGTTCTCCCAAAGAATAATCTGTATAAATGGTTCCCAAACCTGGTTGTGCATCAAAATTCCTTGAGGAACTTTGTAAATATACAGATTCTCAGACCCCGTCCTGAGTCAAGCTCCCCAGAAAGCTAATGCCATTGATCTATATAGCTCAGTGTTTGAGAACCAGAAGTTCTAAAGGCTTTATACAACTCTTACTCTAGTAAAGGTTTCCATGGGCATCTTAGTTGGGGCAACACTAGGTGAAGCGATACTGAACCATTTTCTTCACTATGGAACTGCTCAGACGTTGGCACTCCAATGTGCATTAATTCTTGTTAATTTCCCAAGAAGAGGATGTACATTTATTTGACCATCTAACTTTCTGTTACCTGCAGTATAGTCTAGAGCTCTGGTTTTCTGGAACACACTCTAGGACACAATCTACACTCACCAGCTCCCCTTCCTTACTTTCCATTTGCTCTTCAGCCATTACAACTAGGCATGTGCCCCTACTGCTCTGTCCAAATTCCTCAGGGAAAAGTCACCTCGGTCACTTTTCAAAAAATCTTCTTACTAAGTGCTTTCCATTGTCTTAACACTCCTTCCTGGGTTTCCATTAGCTCATCCTCTCCTGGTTCTCCTCCTCTGAATGCCTTTGCTGGCTGCTTTTCCTGTGTCACCTTCCCCTTAATGTCTATGTTCCCAGGAGAGGTAGAGGATGGAGGGTGGAACAATTAGACCATGAGGGCTTCAAGTCAGGGCTATATTGTAGCAGTCCTCGTGGAGGAGGGCACTACAGATTTGGGGTTTGAGGGACACTGCAATCATGCCTTTTTCCACAGCTGTCTCCTAGTGTTCACACATCTGCTGTCTACACTGTAAGAGCCAGTGGAGGAACAACTCCAAAGTTACTAATCACATGAGATATTGATGTATTGAATAAAAAAAGCAGCAGAAGAATAGAGAGCGAAGAGAGGTGTACTCACCTCAAGAAATGCCTTGTGGAATGCATCTGAGACATAGAGGTCCCTCGGGCCTTCTGCAACAATACCTAGAAGGAAGACCAGAGAAAGCACTGTGAAATGGGAGAAGGTTGGCTTCAACCCACAGAAAGGAATTCAGTTTAAATTAAGATGTCCTTTGGGGCTTTTTTGAAAAATAGAAAGAAATCCTGGACCCTCACTTAATGATACCCTGAAAAATAAATACATGTTAAAAATAATAAAGTACTTTGGGTTTATTCAGCCTGGCTCCCGTGAATTTAATCTCCTGCTTCAGCTCATGGGGGGGGGTTGGGGTGGGGGGGTGAGGACTCTGTTCTTAAAGAAAAACTCACTCCATCTGGTAGGAATGTCTTCCCTTCCAGTGTGGCAACACTTTGGGAGTGGTTTTCAGACTTAGTTTAAAGACAGACCATTAAAGGTAAATCCAATTAACTAACGTTGTAAACTCCTTTTTAAAAAAGAGATATTTTAGGGAATTCCCTGGCAGTCCAGTGGTTAGGACTCCGTGCTCTCACTGCCAAGGGTTCAATCCCTGGTCGGGAACTAAGGTCCCACAAGACACATAGTGCGGCCAAAAAAAAAAAAAAAAGAGAGATTTTAATGCATATTTTTTAAAGGATGGTGGGTTGGAAGAACCAAACCAACTTAACACCGTTATCAAAGTATCAAAACTGGGAAGGGGGTGACTGTATCTGTCCATGTGACCTTAGAATTCACATGAGCCCTTTGGAATATCAGGTGAAGAAGGGCTATTACATGTCAGCTATGCCTATTTTGTGGGACCCGGATGTCCCTGGCTCTTAATCATATCTGTCTCCTTGCTCTGAATTTTCTGATGCTTTTCAAGTTCTTTTCTACCTGGTCTCTTCTATCAGTTACAGGCTCAAAAGGTTCCAGTGCCATATGGGCCTGTGGAGATCCAAGAGCCAACGTCCCATTTTACAGAAGAGAAAACTGACACCTTGAGAGGGAAGGGATTTCCCTGAGTTAGCAGTAGAACTGGGATTAGAATCCAGGTGTCCTGATTCGCCCTTTTCTACTCTTTCCCCATCTCTTCCACCTTTGGTCAGACTTCTTTGGGGACAGAGAGAGGAGGAAAGTCCTTCCTGCACTCACCTGGGAGCTTGGACTTCTCAGGGCTGAAGAGGTCCTCAAGGCCCATGTCTTGCAGCCGCTCTTTCACGCTGAAGCTGTCCTCGATGCGGAAGCGGGGCATGTGGACCACCAGCAGTGTCTCTGCCAGCTCATCTAGCCACTCCTGCAGCACCTCTGGGGTGAGTTCCTGTTCCACCTTGGTCAGGCTCTTCTCAAGCTTGGGCAGGATGAGCACCATGGTGATGTCATCACCCTTGAAGGGCAACTCAAGCACCTGGGTGCCCTCTGCCACGCGCCGATAGCGGAACTTGCCTTCCTGGTACATCATGAATACCGAACACGACTCCCCATCGGCCTTGTAGAAAAGTTCCTTCCTTGTGTTCTCAGGGCTGAACTTTGACTTCCACAGGCCCTGGAAGAAGACGCCAGGTGGGAGAATCACAAAGCAAGAAGACCAAAAACATCCGTAGGAGAATATTGACATGGGAAGTAGTCACAATATTTTATTACATTAATATGTAAGTGTAATTGTTAAGAACAAAGGCTAGAGGGATATGCATGCAAACGTCTTAACACTGACTGTGTCAGAGTGATAGAATCATGAGTCGTTTTTTTTCTGTGAACTTTTCTGTATTTCCTAGATTTTCAGCAGTGACTATATGCTTTTATAACAAGAAAAATAAAAACAAGAACAACCTACTGGCCTCTTTGCAAGTCTCTTCTGGAGTTTAAATCTAATTGCCTTTTGCTTTCTGCCTCCCACCAGCCTCTTTCTCAAAGGACATCCTCCAAAATGCTGGGCTCTGTTCCTGATGAATAAAGCCAGACAGAGGTAATAACCCCAGGGGGTCATCTGGGAGTCCTGCTGGGCAGAGAGTGAGGCCTGGCCAACTTTCTGTTCAAAGAAGGAGGGGATACAAGACACTCCTTTGACATTTCTGAGTTGTAATTATCATTCCCTGTCATCTTCTGGCTCTTTGATTTTGGGACAAGTCATTTAACTCTTTGAGTGGTGGCTCTTCATCTGTAAGATTAGGAGCTGGTTATCACTAATATTTGTAGGATGCTTGCTGTGTGCCAGGCACTGCTCCAAGCATTTTATGTGCATTAACTTAATCCCTTCAGTAACCGTGTAAGGTAGATGTATCATTATTACCATTTTATAGATGCAGAAGTTGGGGCATAGAAGAGTCTCAAGTAACTTACTCAAGTTTGCAGTCAGAAATGGAAGAGTCAGAATTTAAATTAAGTAATCTGTCTGAGCAGCCCAAGTTCACATTTGTGATGTTACGAAGGTCAGGAGGACTAATAAAAGGCAAAGTGTTCCATAAATTGTAAAGGGCAGTACACATTGTAGAAATGCAACCTACTCCATTCTTAGGGTGAGGGACCCCCTAAGCAACAGAGTAATTGCCAACAGCAGTGACTGGCTAACCCCCTGGGCCCAGTCGGGGAGAAGAGTGTATCTGGAGCATGGCCTGGGAAGGGCACAATTCAACCTGCGTTAAGCTGGAGGCCCTCCTGAGTATCAATGGTCTGTTTATTCCCAGGACCTTCTCCCTCATCCTTCCTAAATGTAATAAAGTTGGAACAGTCTTTAGAACTCTTGACTCTCTGAGAAAGACAAAGCCGTCTGCATGATCATGTAACAAGGCTTCTGCTAAGTTTGAGGTTAGTCTGGCATCAGGAGGTTCAGAAGCTTCAGGCAAGAGGAATTTTGAGTCACTGCAGAAGCTGCTCTAGATGATGGAGAAAATCTCATCACTGAGGATTGTCTATAGACTCTGTCATTTTGTTCCAGATTTCAAAATGGAGTTAATGAGGGACAGGAGAAATCGTCACATATATATGAGAATTTATTACCACGCACACCTTGCTGCTGAGCGTGCTGGGTCTGGGAGTGTGCACACTTTGCCTTGGGCCCAGAGACACTACCAGGCCCCCTTTGGACCTCAGGCCAGTAGCCACAGCCCTAGACATGACTCTAGACTCAGCAAATTTGTATTTTACCCAGACCATGCATGTACCATTTCTCAAAAAGATCTACTGACACATGCCCAATGGTATGAAAGAAGGTAAGCTGGAGGGAAAACAAGTCATCCCTGAGGCCTCTCCAGGGACATTTTGAGTACCTTGAAGTAAATGGTGTTGACCAGCACCAGGACAGTGAACTCATTGATGGCTTCTGGGGGAATGACATCAGTGATACGCCCATCAGTCTTATTGGATATCCATTGGTTGATGGTCACTCTGGACTGCTCTGCATTTCCCTGAGGAGAACAGGAAACAAACCTACGCAACTGTGCTATTCAGTTGGCTTCTCCATTTCCCTGTGAAGCACTTTATTTTGTCCATCATCCCTCTGCTCTTTCCCACCATTTGGTTAAGCCATCTCTCTAACCCAGATTGGGGAAACCTCACATATCTAGTGTAGTGTCGTGAATCTTCCATATCGTTAATAAATGGTAACAGAAGAAAGAGAAAGAAAGGAAAGAAAAAGAGGAAGAAATAAAGAAACAGAAGAGAAATATAGTCTGAGAAAAGAAAACAAAATATTATCTTCTCTGACTCTGGAAATTCGAACTCTTATAAGTATTCATGAGATATGTTCTATGGGAAGCTAATGAGTGACACAGGAGTTGGGGGGTGGGCAGGAGAGATGCCCATGTGGTCCAAAAAGTTTGAGAAATACTGATTGAATAAAGTAAGTAGATTTCTTTGTTGCAGGACTTTTATATAACTTTTTCAGAGCAGCCTCTACAATCCAGAGATTACATTGATTTCTCAGGTTTCAAGCAAGAATACATATCCCAGGGGCTCTGACTTATAGTATTATAACACCTCCACCTGCCTTCAACTACCATAGCAGTGTTAATTTGGATCCTGCTTCTCTATCTCTTTAATTTCTGAGTGGAGAAGAAGAACTCTGAGGTCAGGGATGACATCTGCAACTCACCTTGAAGTCCAGGGGCTGGAGCTTGGCTCCATATACCATCTCACTGATGTCCTGGTAGGTCTCATTGAAGGTAAGGGATTTTTCTCCAAAAAGACGGTTGGCTGATACCAACTCAGAGGATTTATTGGCTTTTCGATAGAGTCGGCAGTTCAGTTTGGCAAAGAAAAAGTGGATCTGATCAGATGTCTTCTCAGAGATGGTATCAAACTTAAAAACCTGTAGAAGCCAAAAGAAAATAGCGGTGGGTCTGGTAAAGAAGTCTGGCTAACATGAGTGGTAAGCACAGTGCCACTCAGCCCCTGACCAATAGTTGTGAGTCCCTTCAAACACAGTGCCTGGCACAGCATAAATGCTCAGCTCATGCTTTCTAGATGAATAAATGGATAAAAGAAGAATAAAGGGTAGGGAGGAGAAAGAGAAAAAGAAACGCAAAGAGACTGGGATACCACCCAAAGTCTCTAAAGGGCTCTAGACCAACACACAGATGTTCTCCTGGGTGTCCCAGCAAGGAGGTTAGGCAGAAGGGCTTTGGGTTGTACCTCCATCAGCTGCTTGAGGGTGTTGTCACAGGCACCCAGCTTGGTCATAGCAAAAGCTGTGGAGATGCTCAGGGGTGACAGGAAAATGTTGTCCTTGTCATTCTTGTTGTCTGCCAGATGCTGATAGAAGGTGGCGGCAAAGTGGGAATTGGCCTTGGACAGTTCCCAAACCCGCCGGTTGGTGGCCCCGGGGATCTTCTGCTCTGAACCCTCGCCCTCGGTTGCTTTCTTCTCTGGGGCACGGTAAATGCACATGGGATTCATGGGAATGTCCCGAGGCTTGGCTGTGCAGATGTCTTCCCCAGGGCTCCAATGACAGGTCACGCAGCTCCAGAGGCCAATAAGCAGCAAGGAGAGAAGACATACACTCCTATAGGGGGACAGAAAGCCGAGTTAAGCTAGGCTGAGAAATCACCTGTCCCACTGCCCACCACAGATTTGCCCCAGTAAAGCATAGATTACCATCCCACCTGCTGTGGCCAGGAGGAGGGCCAAAATCTTTGAAAAGTACAAGGGCCCGGGACAAGTCCAGTCCTGGACTCCTTACAAGTGGATAGTTTCACTTGCCTGGCCATAGTCATGTTGAAATTAGAATCAACTATTGAAGCAACTGAGGTTATTAGAAGTATTGTGTGCCCAAGGCCTCATGCTGGAAGATATAAAGAATGCAAAGTTTCCAATTGGTGACATGGGACATGCACATAAGAAAAATGGCAGAGAACTTTAGTGCCCAATGAAAACTTAGGTCAGTTGGAGGAGACATTAACAGAAGCTGATTAGGGAAGGGCTCAGAAACAGATGGATTTTTAACCTGGATGTTAAAGGATTGGGAGGATTTTGATTGATTCAGCAGATGGATTTCAGCAACATGAGAGGGTTAAGAAGAAATGAATTCTCCTAATTTGTCAATTTCATGATCTCATTTTTTAAAAAGTGAAATTAGTTTTATTTACTTTAGCCACAATCAATGTGCTGAAAACACCGGAAGTCTCTAGCTCCAGCCTAATCCTTCCACTGAGTTCCAGACCAGTTGTTTGCTGGACAATTCCACCTGGATGTCCTGCAGATTCCTTAGTGAAATACGAACAAACTGAACTCATAACTCTCACCCACACACGCTTCTCCTTCTGTGTCCTTCAACTCAGCAAATGGGACCCACAGTTACCTGAGAGCCACCCTGGATTTCTCCCTCTTACCCTTCTCATTAGTCACACCCTAGATTCTGTGCATTCTGTTTCCTTGTTCTCTCACTGCCTTAGTTCAGGCCCTCAGCATTTTCTGATTCCTAGAAGTTTTAGTAACTTCCAACGTGTATTCGCTAAAGTAAATAAAACTAATTTCACTTTTTAAAAAATGAGATCATGAAATTGGCAAATTAGGAGAATTGGGACACCCAATTAAGTAAACCAAGAGATAAACTCTCTTGTAATGTTTTTGTAGATAAGACATGAGGGGCCAGGAACTTCCTGTGGCTGACTTGGGGCCCTTAGGTCTAGAGAGGGGAGTCTGCATGAGGGTACTGAGTCTTCTCAATCTTCCCCCAGCAGAAAAGCAGGTTATGCACGCAGTGAAGAAAGGACTCACCAAAGTGGTCTGCTGGGCAAGCGTGGGGCTGGCTGGAAGCTGGGGGCAGCTGAGGGGTACTTGGCTTCTTGCATGATCTGAAGTGAACCCTGCAGTCCTTTTAAGAACAGAGGCACAGAATGGGAGAGCAGAGGCACTGAGGGAGCCATGGAAGGCAGGGTGAGGAAGCAGAGAGAACCTTGCCATTCTTCTCCTCAGCTTGCTTGCCTCTGTTTCCCATTTTGTCCCTCAGCTACATTTGGAAATACAAGTGGAGGCTGAGGGGGCCCTAGGAGTTCTGTTAAGCACAAAGAAAAACCAAGGTGGTCAAGCCACAGCCTCACTTCTAGCTTCCTGTAAAAAACCAGATCAAGAAGGGAATGTGTGTGATGTTGAGGGCTGCAGTCCTTTGTCAAAGGTCACTGAGACCTTGGGTGGGGGGATGGGAGATGTGACGGGGGTGGGGCAGGGGGGAATTGAGTGGAAGGAGGAGCAAAAAGGGAGTTAGGAGGTCCTCATAGATTAAATTTGTCCTCTTTTCAGATGTATGGAAGGCCCAGCAATTCCCCTTGGAGCATCTCCTGGACTGCTGTGAGGGCTGACACTGATGCAGCATCTCTGTACAAGGGAAGACATCCCCTGTTTCTTGGGTTAAGAATCCAAGGTGTGGCTTAGGGTAAGGCCTTACCCCTAGAAGGGAGTGGGAGGGAGGGCACTTGGAATGACGTCTTCCAAACAAGTCTGATTAAAACTACCAGGGAGAGGGCCTGGTCTTCTCGAAGGTGTCGAGGTCATCCTGGTGAGTCCCTCAGAGGTCAGAAAACCCAGTGAGGGCATGCAAAGGGAAAGCTCACCCCTCTTACCTTTTTCCAGCAGCTACAGTTCCTATCCCATTGGAAAGCATGGTTGCTAATCTTCCACAGGTCTGGGCGAGTGGAGATAGTGTGGTTTGAGGCAATCCCTCTGAACTGGTTCTTTCCTCTAAATCTGGATGAGGTTCCAGAGGCTAGGATGGGGGATGGAGCTGGTGAGGAGGGGAGGCATGAGGTCAAAGGCTGATGACCTGCTCCCAGGGTTAAGCAAAGTGTAGAGCCCAGTGCTGGTTAATTAGTAGAGAAGTTTTAAAGTTCAGTCAGGTCCAGAGAAAGAAGGTCCACCTTTCCTACCCATGCTCCCTCACTTTCTTCTTCATCTTTATAGAAAAGGAAAAGGAGAACATGTTCACAAATTCAAACTTAGAAAATACCTAGCTGATGAGAACTTTGCAGGGATTTTTTTCTTTTTTCCTGGTTAACTAAACCAGGAGGTAGAAGATAGTCTATTTTCTACATAAATAAAATAGTATATAACTAGCCAAGTTGAATGTCCAGAATGAGAGGTAGTCTTCTACCTCTCAGTGCAATATCCTCTTTCTCACAGGTTTTTAGGGAAAGAGAGAGAAAAAGAGCCCATGTTACCTAATCATAGGGGACAGAAGAGAACTATTCTGAAACAGGTGCTACTTTCAGGCCTCTAAGAGCTGATGTGTCAGTGACCCAGTCAAGGACACACAATGGTTACACCTGTGTGTACAGTGGACTCATTCCCCATTCAGCCTTGAAGTGGTGGGAGGGGGCACAGGAGCAAGGGCCTCAGGGTGCTGCCAAGGACATTTCTAGGGTGGATGAGCTGGGTGGGAAATACTTCGAAAAATTCTCTTGGGGGATCAGGAGACAGGGTGGGGCAGGTGAAAAACATACATGCAACTACTGACATACTTCTAAGAAGCAAACAGAATGAATTATTTTTATTTATTCATATTGTTATTTTTACTTATTTTAGTTATTGGGGAAATGGAGTCAAACTAATGGAGATAAAGGGCAGGTTTATGTTTATTTCCCTCTTCCTAAATAGCCAAAAACAGTATCATAAGGATTGCTGCAACTGTATTCACAGGATACAAGTATGCCACCTTCTGTGTGACTGAAGACTTCTTGAAGTTGGTACAGTCACAGGCATTCTAAAGAGTTCTTTATTCATTAGACAGGAAATCTCTACCTAGACTGAAGCTGCGTCTAAGTTCTTGACTGATTTAGACCCTGGACATCTCGAGGGCCCGTGTACAGTATGAAATTACAAGGAACTGTCCTAAAAAGCCCCAGAATGGTTGGAGGCTCCTTGTCACTCCAGATTAAAGACAAGTGGAAAGTCTCCTATTCAACCACTTGTGTTCAGCAAACACAGGAGCACTACCTGAGTCAGCAGGCACTGTTCTAGGGGCTGGGAGCTCCAGACAGGAAGACATGCAGTGATCACATAAAGAATCAGTATATAAAAAATAGATCTATAACATGTCAGTCAGGTGTTAATAAGGGTTACAGAGGAAAATACAACAGGGCAAGGGGATAGAAAGTGATGGGAGGAGGTAAGGAGGCTACTGTTGTAGAAAGGAGGTGGGAAAGGCCTCCCTAATAAACTGACACTAAGGGACCAGAGTAAAATGAGGGAGGGAGTCAAATATCTTTGGGAAGAGCTTTTCACACAGAAGAAACAGGAGATACAAAGATCCTGAGGTGGGAATATGCTGTTCAGACCTATTGTTCCAGCTTGTAGGAGTTGTGAGACTTGTGCCTTGTAAAGAAGGTCCTTGGAGGAAGGCAGGTGAGGGGACCCTGCCCAAGGGGTAAAGGGGGTCTGGTGAACATCTGTGGGAAAAGAGATAAGGGTGCAGATACCACCTGGCCAGGTAGTGAAGAACTATACATCAGGGGTTGTGTTTAATTTCTTCATCCATTCATTGAGTCATATGATCATTTAATTAACAAATGTTTAATAAATGCCAATACGTACCGGGCATGGTTGGTGCTGGGCCCGGGGTTATAAAGATGACTTTGTCCTCAAGGAGCACCGTGCTTCACAGCAGACCCCAGACATGAAGATAAACATCCCAATCAATGCTACTGGCCATCTGACTAAAGTGTGTATAGGGGAAGGGGAAGGGCAGACAGGTGGGTGTCCATGGAACTGGGGTCAGGAGAGGGAAAGATCAGGAGGTGATAATGTAAAAATTTCTTAATTTGCAAGACTAAGACACAAAGTCTTTTTATTTTAAAATAATTTTAAAGTAATAAAAAAGTTGCAAAAATAGTACAAAATATTCTTGTATACTCTTCACCCAGATTCCCCAAATGCTCACATTGTTAACATTTTACCACATTTGCTTTTTGCTTTGCTTTTGGTATTCTTCTTTCTCTCTCCCTCTCCCTCTGTTTCTCTCTCTGACTCCCTCTCCCTATTATTTTTCTGTACTGTTTGAGAATAATTTGCAGATATAATGCCTTTTTACCCTTATGAAGACTGAGGTTCCTAAAAACCAGGATATTCCCTTATACGACCACAGTATAAGATCAAAAATAGGAAATTGACAGTAATATAGTACCATTTTCAAATCCATAAATCTTATTCTAAATTTGCCAAGTGTCCCACTAATGTTCTTTATAGCCGTTGTTCTCAAAATTTTTGGTCTCAGGATCTCTTTATAGTCTTGCTAAATTACATCTAATTATTTAAATAGTTTATATAAAATAGTTATGACTTCATGAATACACTGAAAGGTTTTGTGGACCTCCTTGGATCCCTGGATCACACATTGGGAAACATTTCATAGCCCCCAAAAGTCCACTCCCCCCCACCCCCCATTTCCTGGTCCAGGGTCACATTGCATTTAATTGTCATGTCTCTTTGGTCTCCTCTAGTTTGGAAGAGTTGCTCTATTTTGTCTTTCATGACTGTGGAATTTTTTAAGAGTACGGGCCAGTTATTTTTATTTTTTAAATAAATTTATTAATTAATTTATGGCTCCGTTGGGTCTTCGTTGCTGCGTGCAGGCTTTCTCTAGTTGCGGCGAGCGTGGGCTACTCTTCAATGTGGTGTGCAGGCTTCTCATTGCGGTGGCTTCTCTTTGTTACAGAGCACTGGCTCTAGGCGCGTGGGCTTCAGTAGTTGTGGCACGCAGACTCAGTAGTTGTGGCTCTGGGCTCTAGAGCGCAGGCTCAGTAGTTGTGGTGCACGGGCTTAGTTGCTCCACGGCATGTGGGATCTTCCTGGACCAGGGCTCGAACCTGTGTCCCCCGCATTGGCAGGCGGATTCTTAACCACTGCACCACCAGGGAAGTCCCCGGGCCAGTTATTCTTGAAGAACGTCTCTCAATTTGAGTATATCTGAGGTTTCCTCAGGATTAGATTCAAGTTATGCTTTTTTTGGTAGGAATACTAAAGAAATAATATTGTACCCTTCTTAGTGCGTCGTATCAGGAGGCACATGATATCAATTTGCCCCATTACTGGTGATGTTAATTTTGATCACTTGGTTAAGATCAAGACTGCCGAGGTTCTTTCTCTCCTGTAAAATTACAATATTTCCCTTTTTGTTAAACAAGTATCCTGAAAGAAGATACTTTGAGTATATAAGATACATCGTTTTTCATCAGACTTTCACCTGCTAATTTTAGCATTCCTCGGTGGTTCTTTGCAGACTTTTTAAGCACTTCTTTTCCTAGCTCCCACCTGATTCCCTAAAAAGGATTATCACTGAAACCATTAGAATTCAAAGACATCAACTAAGTTAGACAACACACTCTCTTGCTAGGGTGTGAGGAAAATGCCCTTTCACTCATTGCTGATGGGAGTGCAGAATGCTATAACCCTTTGAAGGAAATCTGGCAATACCAGCATTACAAATGAGTTCACCCCTTGAGCTGGAAATCCCACTTCAGAAAGTGTATCCTACAGACATATCTGCATAGGTATAAATTAGGTTACCAATTGTAACTTGATTTGCAATGGCAAAAGACTAGAAACAACTTCCATCTATAGCAGACTAGTTAAACCAAGGTACATCCCCACAATGGAAAACTATGCCACTGTCAAAAAGAATGAGGCTGTTCTCTTTGTACTGATATGGAAGGATCTCTAGGCTCACTAAGTAGAAAAAAGCGAGCTGCAGAGCACTGTTTATAGTATGCTAACTTTTGTATCACAAAGTGGGGATGATGGAGCAGGTGCAGACAGACAGGGGTGGAAGTGAGATTTGTCAATATGAACCTTATTTTTCTATTTTTCAATATGTCAATATTATTATCACCTCGTCAAGAAGGTCTGGACTTTGTGAGCAACAAGGGCATCAGGGTTGTGTCCCACAGAGGCTTGAGGAGAGAGGAGTACCAGGGCATGACACAAAGGTGGTGGCAGCACCAAAGAAGAACTAGAAACAGCCTGAGCCCCTGGCTGGTGACAAAGAAGGAAAGGAGACTGAAAGAAGCCCAGTTCAGGTGGAACTGATGGAACAGAGGTGTTTAGGTGTGCCCTGACTGGCAAAATTATTTCTAATGACTGTATAATATT